AACCTAGGAGGAAACATAATAAAAACAATCGTTTTGCTGCTTATTGTTGGGCACAGTTCACCGTCCGAATCTTACGAAAGAATTTAAGGGTCAGTTCGGCCCGATTGAATAAAATTCAGAAGCCTCTGTTAGGGTTTTTGAGGGGCCAAAATGCTTTTATTTTTCTCAAATAATTTATGATGAGAACCGGAAGTCTTTCGGTACTTTAGAATCGGGCTTTGCCAAGGGGGTCCCTGTTAGTTTTTAATATCGATCAAAAAATGCCTCCGTTCTGGCGTTTTCATGGCTAGCTGACCGTAAAAATTCGTATTTAGGCGCCAACTGTGGCCGAGATTTCAATTATTTAGGCACCAATAAAAAATACATACAAATACAGTTTTTAATCCAGTTCAAGACATTAATTCTAAAAATTCATTGCCACAGCCACGTGGCGAGCTTGATCGAAATCAACCCGATTTATCAGAATGAAGCGCCCTTTAAAAAAGTTTCGAAGATAAATCGTTCAGACTCGCTGTAATTACGCCCCGTTAATCGCATAACGGGGATGATGGAAGCGATCAATCGTTCAACAGTACAACTTCAGAACTTTAAGAATTATCCAAGTCGCATCATAGATTAGTCACGCAGCTTTAGATTAAGCTCGAAGGGCGCAATTGATGGAGTTTAAAATGATCTTCTGAACGAAAACTAAGGAGCGTCGAAGGCTTGTGTAATTACAGTTTTTTATTCATTTATTTTATTTTTTGTCCTTCTTCCCTCGGAACCAGCTAGTGGCGTGGTTTGCGATGTATCGATTGATATGCCATTCAAACCTATGAAATAAGATCGCTTATCAGGGTGTTCGCAACGAACACCATAATAATCGATTCTTTACCATGGCTTTAAATGGGATAATGTCAGCCGAGGATCACGTCTTCCAGATGGATTCATACTTCCTGCTTAAAGAAAAAACAAGCATCTACTTCAATCGCACACTAATCGTCGACTCTGCTGAATGAAAATATGAAACCATCAATCAATTGGCACTTCGGATCATATATATTGCAGATTGTTGACACTTCAAGCAATACAAGGTGAGTTGGTGACGCAACTCATTGAGAGGCCTGCAAAAACCATTGTAATGCACGATTTGATTCAAGTAGAATAGTTTTTCGTGAAAGCGGGAAATTCAAAGTTTTCATGACCAATCCTAATATTGAAAACGTTAATATCATAGTTGCGAATTATTTTCATAATTTTTGTTGCGCGAATCGTTTTCGACGCAACATTTTGAAGAGGAAGCATATATTGAGTGCTTAAATTCGTACCTTGCCTAATGGTCTATGCTGATAACTTTAGCTACTCTCCCTACTTATAAAGCATTCTCACTTTGGATGACTCTTTCGCGATGTGATAGGTATATAATCCTATAATGTTTTCGGAAACGAAAACACAATGATACTTGTTTTCCTTTGCCCATCAAAACATGGGGGAGTTGGGTGTATCACAAAATCGTGTTTTGGTGCTAAGGCTGAGGAAAGGCTTACATATTAGGCATAAATCATGAGATGCCCCAGAGGCCAAGTTTCTAAGCCCACTATTTTACGGATATGGGTTTCAGTAGCGAGGCGTGAATGGTCGATTATCGATATCCCCCATTTGAAGCTATGGTAAAGAATCTATTATTAAAGTGTTCGTTGCGATCACCCTAATTATCGATCATTCTTCAAAGGTTTGAAGGACGAATCAATCGATGTATAGCAAGGCCCGCCATACCACTGATGGGTTTCACATCGGAAACAAACAGATTTATCATAAATTATTTGGCGTAAAATGATGAAGGGTCCAACAAATTTACAATTAATGTGACATTTAAGTGAGAGGAAAGGAAATAATTCCAGATTTTTACCACTGTTTCACAGAAGGATTTTTCAGGAGACATCTCGTGCCTGGGTGGGATCTGTTATTTCTCGGAGTTTTCAGGTTTCATGAAAATATTGTTTCGATTTCACACCAGATCAAAATTCCAACAAAAACTGTGACCATCCTTTGGCTTGTAGGTAATTTGGTCGTTTCCATCGCATGAGAACTTAGCTACAAGTCAATACCCAGATTCATCCGCGCGCAAATTGCATTTTTACCGGGAGGATTTTGAGATCCTCTAACTGAAAATTTTCCTAATTTCTCTTCTGATCCCATGTAAAATTCAGACAAATTTTCGACGAAACTTACGCAGGTTTGATTTCGTGTAAAATTGAATTCTTTGAGTCAATTTTGCGACGTTGGAATGGAGTTCGGTTCCTTCGTGCGGAAAACGACGATTTAGCTCTTCTTCCCTGTCTTTACCCGGATTTTTTTCAACTGAAACCGCCCTGTGTTAACAGAGCTTTCGGAAGATATCACGCTAAAGTTGCATCATCCCAGGCAACATGAGCTAGAGCTTAGCTTCGATGAAATAAAGGTGGTTTTTGGAGCATTTCAAAGTTACGGTCACAACGGCCCTGAGCAGCGAGTGCACGGTTGCTGTTTATCGGAAAAATCCTTTCATTCCTCGCAATCTAACACAAAAAACCGAGAAAATGAGAGCCAAATCCGACAACCTTGGATATCGATATGCTAAATGCATTAGCATTAGCACCTTCCTTTCCCACTTCATCTCGTCCGCCCCTCGCGTAAGAGGACAAACAGGATTAAATCCATTGTGTCTACAAATCTTGATTTTTCCCATTTGTTGATATATCCCCGTTTTTGCTCATTTCCGGAGGAGCATTCCCTGGTGAAAAACCAGGATTTCTCTTATTTTCTTCCTGAATTGCCTCGAGGGAATATGGGTGTCTCCGGAGCTCGGAACGAAATTTGAAAAAATTAGAGAGCATTAAATGTTTCATATTTTATCGATCAAATTGCACTAGAGAAAATGGTTGACGAGCATTTATTCAACTGTAACGAGATTACTCGTTGTTTCAACAAACATTTTGGCTCAAATTCTTTTCCCTTCTTTGAAGAAAAATGTATTATACGATGGGATTACTTTTGGTGAGTGAGAGAAAAGCTTCGTGATTCATATGTTGATTTTTTTTCGAAGTAATTTAATCAAAGAAGGGTGATTTTGTCATCAATGATAAGTCTTAACATTTCTCAACTTAAACAAATTAGTTTCCCCAAGACGCATTTCTTTCTATAAGAACAATTTTTCTCAAAGAAAATCACTTTTGTGTCGAAAAATTTTTCCTTTCTAAAAATACTAAAAGTTCGTTCGGTTCTTAAAAATGATGCAAAAACATCTAAGCCATTTTTCAGTGAAAATCAATACGACCTAACAGAATAAAAAGTTGAAATTCCCGCTTTGACTTATCATTTCCCCGATAAATTCCCTAATTTTACTGGAGGTATTTAGTACGCCGATGAATCTCAGCATTTCCAAGTTTTTCCACGTGCGTCCTGGACACCACGACTCGCGATCACTACGGCCCTGAGCAGCAAATCGCTCAGTTGCAGTACGTAGGAAAAATCCCGTAATTCCATCACGAAAATCTGAGCAATCGAACGCAAGATCTGGCAACCCTGGATACCGATATGCTAAATGCATTAGCATTAGCACCTTCCCTTCCCGCTTCATCTGGTGCGCCCTTCGCGTATGACGACAAACGGGATTAAACCCCGCAGCCGTGTGGCATGGAGACACAACCCCCGATCCCCCGGGGGACGTTTCTGATAAACCGATGAATAAAATAATAATTCGATGGAAAATATAAATAAAACGGGACGAGAAAGCTCGCTTCCTCCGGAGTTTCATGTACCGATACCAACGGCGTGGCGTGCTTTGCGATGTATCGATCGGTCTGCCATTTAAACCTGTGGAAAAGGATCGATAAACAGGGTGCCCGCTTCGAGTCCTCAATAATCGATTCTTTACCATAGCTTCTAATGAGGAAATATCGTTAATTGATCGTTCAGGCCTTACCATAGACCGTTACGCGTGTGCTTGTGCGTCGACTAAGCGTTCTCGTGATAGGGTAAAACGACATATGAACATCTCGATGTTGCCAAATGTTTCCCTGAAAACATGTTTTGGAAAAGTGATGGGCATTTACTTTGAAATTTTTGGATGGTTTAGGGTCAAACGCAAATGAAATTCTCTTAAAAGTTGGGAGTGACATATCCACAATTTTCCTGGAAAATTCGTATTTTATCCGATGAAATCCGGCAACGTTAGAGAACTAGTACGGTGTTTTCTTTTCTCGGCATGGCAGAGTATCTGAAAGCAGCGGCTCCAGTGGCGTGGCGTGAATTGCGATGTATCGATTGTTATTCCATTTAAACCTATAGAAAAGGATCGATAAACAGGGTGTTCGAAGCGAACACCTTAATAATCGATTCTTTACCATAGGTTTATATTACATAACAATCTATATATTGCAATTCACGCCACGCCACTGAGCGGCTCAATTGTGGGGGCGTATTGGGGTAGAAAAGATGCTGCTAAGATTATGCAACGTAGTTCTCTAGTTGTAAGTAACTAAATCTGTCAGTTCTGCTATAAATTTTTCCCTGAATCTGCTCCGAGCATTTCCTCAATATTGTAAGCGAGTAAGTCGACTGTGCATGAATTTCATCTACCGCAAACGCTATATGAAAAATTGCACCATTTAAGCAGCACTGCAAGCATTGTACGCCTTTTCACGAAAAAGTCCTCAATTTTGAAAAATTATAAATTTTCCCTGACTTTCCCTGGTTTTGGGACAAAGATATCGTGAATTTGTCCAAACTTTGAAGAGCATGAAAATAGTTATAACTAATATCTATTGCGACCTGCAACGAAAGAGTGTAAAGTGGCGGTCAGCGTCGTTTGAAAGTTTCGACAGATCATGACTTTTCACACCCAAGATTTGAAGGCAAGTTTTTTCTTGGCTCTCCTTAAGTCTCAAGGTTTTCCTAAAATTTCGAAACACTGATCCTGAATAATTTCATCGGAAATCTTCGTAAACTGGCGCGATTAAAAGTGGAAGGCTAGGACTCACCTTTGTATGGGGTTACTGCTGAAATCTAAGCATTGCAGGGCCTGAAGATGCCTTATCGTATCAGGAATTTCAGATATGTCTATAAAAAAAGAAAGAAATCAATTAGAAAATTTCATACCAAAGATGTAAGTCTATCACAATTTTCCTGTGAATTTCCTGAGTTTTCCCAGTCGCCACTAATTCCCTGACTTTCCCGGTTTCCAAGATAGCTGGCAATCTTGCACCGTTCTTCCACCCTGAGATCATCTTTGCAATTCCAAGTTGAATTTCACGCGACACCTCAAAAATGCTCATAACTTTCATGAAAACGGCCGTAAAAATCAATTTGTTCATGTTTGTATTGAAATTTCACGAAACACTTTCCCTGACATTCCCGGTTTTCCACATTGCCGGCAATCTCGCACCTTTCTTCCATCCTGGGATCACCCTTGCGATTCCAACACTGGAAAAAAAACACATTGGATCTGGAGTCTAGACTCTTGATAACATTGACAAGAAAAAGGACTCTTGATTCAATCAGATTTAAGCTTAAATCAAAAGGAAATCCGCTCAAATTAAGCGGCTTGGTTCTTGATTTAAAATTATATCTGATTGAATCAAGAGTATTTTTTCTTGTCAATGTTTTTAAGAGTCTGGGCTCTAGATTCAATGTGTTTTTTTTCCAGTGAAGTTGAATTTCACGTGAAATCTCAAAAAGTTTCATAAATTTCATGAAAAACAGCCTTAAATTTCAATTTTTTCATGTTATTATGGAAATTTCACGAGAACACTTCATACAATTCCACCATGAAATTTTAATCAACCTCCCAATCGACAAGCGACAACACCGCGACGGATTTAAGACGGGTTTGACGCGAAGTTTCCCGCGTAAACGTAGCGGATACGACGTGAATATTCATAATTTCCGAGGAAACGCGACTTTTAATTTATTTACGTACACTAAACAATTTCGCGAAACTGCGCGGCTCGGAATAATGCGCCGTTTTCGTTGCAACAGTTCGTCGCTCCTCTGACGTATAAAAGCGTACCCCGATTTCCGTATGAGCCCCAGGAAGCACGGATTTACATGTGAAATGAGGCTCACGCGAGAGCTGAGATACGCCCTTACGTCAGAGCGGTGCGAGTTACGCGTTTCGTGGCCGGGCGAGAGGAGCGGCACTTCAAAGACCTTGTTTAGCAGGGCAAATAAGCTGTTCTTGAAGGAACACCCTCTACGATCTCGGTTCTTGCCACATTTCTTCTGACTGAAAAAAGAAAATTGAAAAATTAAAATTCTGGAAATCATTTCGAATCATCTGGAAATCTTCTGAATAAATTCTGGAAATCTTTTCTGGGATTTTTTCGTTTTTTTTTTAAGGCTTCCACCAATTGAATCGGTCACACTAAACACTTGTTGACTAGTCCCTTTACTTACGATAATTTTTGAAATTTTTCAATGCGTTCAACGTGTTCGGCATGCGACTTTACGACACATACATTTTTTTTTACATTCTCTGTAACTCTTAACCTTTCAAGTGGTCCATAGAAAATACAACAGAATTATATTCGTCATGCGGACTACTCGAAAGGTTAATAAAGAGTTCCATGACATGTTTTCATATAAAATTGCATGCAAAAAACGTGCAACGCATTGAAACATTTTAGAAATAATCTCAAGTAGAGGGATTATAGTTAATTTTTTACATTGAAACAATGATAAGTAGATACACAAGTCCCGCTTGCGGAAACATTTTCCAATGTTCCCGGTATTCCGTGAGCGTGGCAACGGTGGAAAGTTGATAGGGCGTTTTCCGTTGACTCATTGCCGCGCGCGGCGCGCGTTCATCTTTGGCCGTCGGGAAAAGCGCGCTCGGGCGCTCGCTTCGGCGAAACGCATCCTTCCGAGAAACTCGACTCGAGGGGTCCATTTTTCCCGGGTCCCGCGGCTGAATAAATGTTTCATCGAAACTTAGCCGAGAAAAATCACCGACACTAACCGGCGGGATATTAGCCCCGGTAATTGTGCTCGTTTCTCTCGGCTTCCACCGCCGCGCCGCCACTTGGAGCGAGACGGATAAATATAGAGCTAAATAAAAGGGAGAAGTAATAATGTTGGTCCAGGGGATGAAATTAAAGTGGGTTGTGACGTTTCCGAGTACCCACCAACGGATCGGGGATGGGGCTATACACTCTTCGTCATTCACTTGACTTTCTTAATCGCTCGTTTATTTGTCCCGCGGACGTGGATAAATGCTCCCGCGATGATGAGATGGCTTACTCACGGATGTTTATTGGTCCGGTAATAGTACTGATTTTTTAAGGGCCGTCTGGAAGTACTGAACAAGTGCGGAAATTCCGCAAGAAGATTCGGAATTGTTTCCTTCGTACCACGTGTTTTTTAATGAAGGCAAAACATTCTACTGAGGATTTCACGAGAAGATGTTCGATTTATTTTTCCTCCGGAAAAATAAAATAGAGCGACAATTTTGAAACGTTACAAAGCGCGGTATTCAATGCGATGAAACAGCGCTTAAATATATTATATCAATAGATGAAGATGAAGAGAATATGTTTAATAGCTATTAGCAATAGAGAAGGAGAGGTAGAATAATATTACCGTCGAGAACACTGCGATGTTGGTGACAACGCCTTGACGCAACTGTTCGCGCTTGGTGGACGTGCGTGTTTGCAGCACAAAATTTGAAGGCGTTTTTAACGTGGTAAAAATGCTCATTGTTTCAACATCGTAGTTTTCCATACCTTCAAAACACGTTATGACATTGTAATATATTCCTATTTTGGTGATGCCTCTTCTTCATGAGAAATGTGAACTACATTTTGTAGTAGGGGGCTACCAACGTTGCAACATTGCTGAGATTGTATACTTGGTAGGTTCACAGTAAACAATTTGAGAGGAGTTCAATAGAAGGAATTTTTGCTGCGATTCCATTATTACATTGAAATCTTAAGGTGGGCTCATAGAGACTATTCAAGTTTTTAGGTTTTCTTGCAAAATAAATGATAATAGTTATCGTCATCAACATTGCGATGCGATTGAATTCTGTAGTTTAAGTTCAGTAATACTCGTAATGGACCACTAGACAAGGTACGAATTCAAGCATTCTGATACATGTTTCATAATCAGAATTTCACGTAGAACACGATTCGCGCAACGAAAATTACTGAAACTAACTCCTGACGAAGATATTAATCTTTTTATTTCACATTGGTTACGCGGATTTTGACCGCTCACAAGAAACTCAAAGCTCTACGTGAGTCAAATCGCGCACTACAACAGTTTCAGCAAGCCTCTCAATCGAGCACTGTTCATTTCCCACCATGTGTTGTTCAAATTTTAAGCAATTTGCTACAGCTGAGCCAAAGCGTCAAAATTGTGGTCGCCAGATTTTCATATCGCAGAGACTATCACGATAATATTCAACGCGCGATGTGAACCACGTAGAGCATTGAGTTTTATTGAGCGGGTGGTTTGAATTCACGCATCAGGAATCATTAAATATCTTCGTAAAAAGTTGATTTCGGTAATTTTTGTTGTGCGCATCGTGTTCTACATGACATTTTGGTTAAAAAACATGTATCAGAATGCTTAAATTCGTACCTTGTCTAGTGGTCCATTCTACAGTCATTGAAGTCATTTCTAATTTAAACGTTTTCATCGATCCTCAGTTTGATTCTCTTCCTGATCGACCGTAAAGTCCGGTGGGCTGATTGTCATAATTGATAGACAAAGCCACAAAGCGGAGCGGCGTATTAGCAGCGCAGAACGCGCACTGGCGCCTACAAACCTATAACGGGATACTTCACGTATTACGCAACGCGTGAAGTATCCCGTTAGGTTTGTAGGCGCCTATGTGCGTGTCACGCTGGTTGCCTGCCGCGCCGCAACGCTTTAAGCAACTATTTCGCGTCAGAGGCGTTGCCCAGTATCCTACAAGATTGAAGGCGCATGAAATAACTAATTGAAGAGGACTTTCAATTTTGACTGCATCTGTTACTGAAAAATGTTTAATTTGGCATTGGAGCGTTTCCTAGGCTCCCGCTTTGGTTTTCATCTTATCATATCCGTACAGTGTACACATGAACATATGTTTTTATCTGCTCTTAGAGCCTGTTCTCTTTCATGACTTGATTCATGAATGAAATGTTTTTAAGAATGAAGGTAGTAGTAGTATGCATTTATTTTTGAGGTGGTTCCTGTCATTTAAATGAGAAGAAAAAAATGTGGACATATTATGTCCACAATTCGGACAATTTTGGACATATTCATGGTTGGACATTAAATCATGTGGACTTAATTAAGACTGGACTTAACGTTCAGTGGACATAAATAGCGGTGGACATTTATTTAATGGACGAAAGGTAGGTGGACATAAAGTCCTGGAAGCGACCCGGGTGGTTGCAATGGACATAGGAGGTAAGTAATAGACTAACTAACGGCAACCCACGAAAGACCCTATAGTTAGTCCACCCCCTCAATCTATAAGAACCACCCATTTCGACCAATGGGCTCGCTCCATACTCCCTATTATTCCCTATTGCCTGTCGCTTTGTCTATCGCTTTGTCTATCAATGTCAACAATAAACTCGCAGAGGATAAACATGTTGAATAGGTGTCGACTGTAAAATTTCAAAATTGAGGATAGGATTTTCTAAATTGGATTTTCAATAGAAACCAGATCCTATTGTTTCGTCGAGAGAGACTGAAGTTGAACGACGGACTGGGAAAGAGAAGGTAGAGATATCGCCAGGTTGACACGAAGGTGGATGATCAAAGCAGCAAGGACGAAAGACGGAAGGGAGGAGGATCGAATGGAGTACGGATTCGAATAAGAGAGAAGACGGAACGGGATCGAATCGAATCAGAGCCTGTGACTTCTCTGAAACGCGAGCGGGACACTTTAACCAGGTAAATTCACCGTCACCGTCACCGGCAATGATGAATGATGCAAATCGGGAGGGAGCGCCCGCGCCCCGCGCTCTTGCCATGTGCGTCAAATCAACACTTTTCTCTTATACTGCCGTGCTAAGGAAAAACGCAGTATGAGCCTTCAGGCGTTGCCAGATTCCCATCAACATAAA